GATGTTCACACCAAGCTGTGTGAAGTTCACACCAAGCTGTGATGTTCACACTATCCGTAATAAACTAGAGTGAAAGTTGTAAACATCACTCACGGTTTGGTGACGGGATTCGAACCTGCGACCTACAAATTGAGAGTCAAACGCTCTAACCACCAGGACCCTCAATACAGTTTCCAGCGTTACATTCATAATCAGCACCGTCACCAGCGTTACATTCATAATCAGCAGTGACCAGCGTTACATTCATAATCAGCACCGTCACCAGCGTTACATTCATAATCAGCACAGTAACCAGCGTTACATTCATAATCAGCACAGTAATCGGCGTTACATTCATAATCAGCACATTAACCGGCGTTACATTAACAATCAGCACAGTAACCAGCGTTACATTAATAATAACCATTGTAACCAGCGTTACATTAACAATCAGCACAGTAACCAGCGTTACATTAACAATCATCACATTAACCGGCGTTACATTAACAATCAGCACAGTAACCAGCGTTACATTAACAATCAGCACAGTAACCAGCGTTACATTCATTATGTTAACTTTTTTCTAAAACTTGAAACGCCAGATTTTTAAAGATATATTAACAAACCGAGATTTTTTATTTAAAGTAAAATATTAACCACACTCAGCTATACATAAATAGTTAAATGTAGTTGTAAAATAGCACCACAGACTTGGTCGTGTAGAATCTCACGTAACCCTAATCCTAATGAAAGTTTATAATTGGAGGTAATGTCTTTTCATATTATCATCATCATCATCTTTCTACTACATACCACGCGCAAGCCGGGAATGTCGGTCTGTGTGACGTCACAGTTACGTCATACTGTTCAGCGTATTAATTTCATGGACACTGATATTAGTGTCTGGAATTGGCTCCAATTACTTTTAGTGCTGAACTACGTTTGTTCAGAAGCTCTTTGCATAACGTCTAAGAACAGTAATGTTTTTTTATTTCCTCGTAAAAACAACAACCGTTAAACAATGAAATATTATTAATATTACGTTTATTATGTATAACAAACTGACTAGAAGTCCATAAATTCATTAACAAACAGTGAAAAAGGACTAATACCTAAAGTGATGGGAAATCACCAACCTTGTGGTTAATGTCGAACAAGGTGGGTGAGAGGGATAGTAAATTCTTACGTCACTACGAGAACGTGCAAGAAAGTAAATAATCTGTTTGTTTGTAAGTCAATTTTGTTCATGCATCAAGTCAAGAAAAGTTAATCCGATAATCCACAAAAACATAAAACAAGAACACTGCTTCTGAAGCAACAAGTCTGGTGCAGGAACCTTGCAGTTATTTAGCAAAGAAAGGGGCCTTTTGTGGGAACCACTTGCTAGGGTCACATTTAATGATCTTCTTCTCCTACCAGTCAGTCATCCAGGTAAGGGGGGAAAGTTACTTAGTGTGCTGCCATAACAACGGAAAAACATTATTTTTAAGTTCGCGAGTAGCGTCTGCTGGGGGCCATCCAGAAAGTGATGCAACGTGTAAACTAAACATTCGACTGAAATCTACAAAATATACTGGATGTCCAAAACCCGAGTTTCCACAGTTTTCTAAAGTTTGTGTAGAGGGCGCATTTTCAATTAATTATCTATAACAGCAATTAAAATCACAAGCGGATCCGTTAATCTGTACAAAAACAACACCGTACCTAAAGATAAATCGGTCACTTTTAGAATCGTGATTTTGAAAATAACCTGTTTATGTGAGATCAACTATACTCCAATAACCTGTTTATGTGAGACCAACTATACCTCTTTGTTGTTCAATTAATCTTATCGACGACTGTTTAAAACATGGCTGCTTACAGTAATTCTGAGATAATACACATTTTATGTTGTTTATTCATAACGTGTGTAGCATAAGATGTTTAATTCTCCCGCTTTCCCCAGTGACTCAGTGGTAAATCTGAAGGTTTATAGCGCTAAGATCCGGGTTTCGACACCCGTGATGGGCACAGGAGACATAGCCCAATGTGTAGCTTTGTGCTTAACAACAAACAAACAAATTCTCCCGTCCTTAATCCTCATATTATCGATTTTTTTATACACTCTTCATTACCGTTTGGGCCTATTATACCTAGTAACGTGTTTTTGTTGTTGTTGTTTGCCTGCTACAACACTTAGTTTTCTCTATAAAAAACAGCAGTAATTAATCAAAATATTTTTGTTTAAATTTCTGTCTGATTGTGTGCTATATAGAGGCCCGAAAACCAGCAAAGTCATGGGCCAACAGGCATAAAATAATTTTTTTTCTATAAAAGTAACAGAGTAAAAGAGTTTGGCTGTTTTTTAACTACCTTAGGCCCAACTTATAATTCTTGGGTAATCGTAGACTTCATTACCGATAGTACTTGTTTGTTGCCGAAATAGTTTAGAAAATCTCCATTTCCGAGTTTAAAATAAAAAATTAACACGTGTTTGTTTGTTTGGAATTTCGCGCAAAGCTACACGAGGGCTATCTGCACTAGCCGTCCCTAATTTAGCAGAGTAAGACTAGAGGGAAGGCAGCTAGTCATCACCCCCCGCCAACTCTTGGGCTACTCTTTTACCAACGAATAGTAGGATTGACCGTCAAATTATAACGTCCCCACGGCTGAAAGGACGAGCATGGTTGGTGGGACGGGGATTCGAACCCGAATAAACACGTGAAAACTTGACCGTGCAAGTACAGATAGACAGAAAGCCTTAGAGATAAACAGACAGACATAATGCAAAACAGACAGTATTATACTCAGGACTCCTTCCACCAAGTGGAATCGTAACTGCATAACTACAAGTAAGATCAAAAGGTCCCACACTTGAAGTGACAAAAAAGATTACTATCTCCTTCATTGTCTGTTATACTCAGTTCCCCCCCACACACAAGTCGTTTTCAACTTCACATGCCTAAACAATATTTAAATAGTTTGAAGAAAATTATTACTGATAGTTTCAATCATAACACAACATCAATTACACTAGCCAAATATCAAAACACAACATCAATTACACTAAGCAAATATCATAACACAACATCAATTACACTAGCCAAATATCAAAACACAACATCAATTACACTAAGCAAATATCATAACACAACAT